TCCTTCATTAAATGTAAAAAACGGGACTCAAATGCTTCCATGGTGCATAACTATCAATAAAAAATGCCAACAATCTAATGTAATCTAAAGGCTTGATGATTTTACTATCTATTTGTTTGGCTTGTAGTTCTTCAGGTTACTTAAAAGGTGGCAGTAGTTTGACCAGTAGTTTGACTTTACTGTCACTCAGTGGAAGCACAGTCTTCCCTTCAGGTTGTGTTTTCTGCACAGAGCCAGCTGTTAAGTACAAAATGGCCATCATGGAATCAGTCCACCTCATGCCCTCCCCCTCAGTCTGTGAGGATTTAATAAAAACATGTGTAGAGTGGGGCAGTGTGGAATACGTACACTGTAATTTTCACCAAAAAAACAAAACAAAACATTTACATTTCATCTGATTTACATTCAGTGATACCACAGTTATATCGTAATACCAGTTCTCTTAGTGGTGCTTAGTTAGACATGACGTTTTATTTCAGGGGTCTGCTGAGAGCGCTCTTTTATCTAAGCTGCAAACAATAAGAAAAGAAAAACGCTGCAACTTCACTTTGCTGGGCTGTGAGATGCACGAGAGGCTACAGCAGGCATGGGGCGGGGAGGAGCAGACTGATACAGAGCAACATTAGCAGAAGTACATTACACATTATACATTTATAAGTCCACTGGTTTACCGAATCGTGGTATGCAATATAGAAAAACCGAAAAGCACACAGACTTTACTCGACAGGATCATATACAGTTAAAAACGGACCAAACTCAGTTTCCCCATTGAGTAATAAAAATAGATATGACCACTAGAGCATGTCAGAAATCAGCTGTAGCATCATAACACAACCAGCTGGACACGGGATGAAGAAAAGATGGAATTTTGTGTCACTGTGTTGCAAAAAAACAACAATGGAGAAACCCTTAGATGTGGCATCGTTAAAGGTTCTTTCCATGACTGCACTGAAACCTGCAGGAATAATCTCGTATGGCTGACTGGCCCAAGAGATTACCATCTAAACCACAGATTCCACTCTATCAATGCAGAGTCTCCGTTTAAACACGTTCACGCCAGAGGTTGATTGACCCATGCAAGCCTTCACTAAGGTGATTCTGTGACTAAACTCACTGTATCTCACTGCAGAAGTAAACACATGAGCGTGGACACCAACACAAAGAACAGAACAGATACACCACGCTTGACAATTTAATAGTCCACTGGTAGTAAGCTTACCAACCCCCAACAAGCAAATTATACTGGATGCTCCAACTTGGATAAAAACTCTTTAGACTCTTCAATTCACTCCTAAATTGACCTCTCAAGCATGGCTGCCCTCTCCCAGTCATTCTTCACTGTTTGGGGCCAGAGGGGTTGGATCTCTGGGCGGCGTGGCACGGGTCCAGGGACTCCTTGGTGGCGCCGCCGTAGACATCTACGTCGTGGTCGGTCCAGGGCGCGATGTTGCCCAGGGCCGAGGAGCTGCAGTCGGCCACGGCGGCCACCTCGGCTGGCTTCAACACCCGGTCCCACAGGTTAAACTGAGAGAGCTCCCCGACCAGAGCCTGGGAGGCATCAAAACGTCCACCCAGTGTGTCCTTGGGTAGAAGAGATAGCACATTCAGAACTTCAACACCAGCCATTTTAAACATTATTACATTATTATTTGTGGTGGGGGGGAAAAGAACAATTTCCATTGGAATATCGTTTGGCAGCAGTTTGCTTGACAAAGTTTTTAATTAACATTAAGTAAATAACGATTACCCACTTCTTTGGATAAATACCAAAACTATGCTTTAAATGTCAAATCAGGTAACTGGTGAAGGCACTGAGCTAAAATAAAGTTTATTCTGCAGGAAAATATTAAATTTTTTCCTGATTTCGCACAAATACAATTAAAAGTATTAATTTCCCTCTTGTGTCCTGGGATTTTTCTCGATAAAATCAAGTCAACACATCTCAGCCAGCAGCAATCCATCAGCCATCCTCAGAGGAGATTAATGAAATACTTGCTCCCTCTCGAAACTATCCATCAAATTACGTCGTGCTCCATCAGTGTTTTTGTCTTTTACGCAAGGACAAAAGAGCTGCGGGATGAGCTTCGGGTTGTTCTTCTGACACCAGGGAGGGATAATGTCGCATTTCGTAACCATTTTGTAATGTAGTTGTTTCGCTAATGAAGCAGCCAAGCGTGAGGAAAAACACCATTAGGTTTCTGCCTCTTCATGTGTGAAAACTAATGGTGGTTCCTTAAAATAGCTCTCCTGGTTTCTCTGTGTATGTTTATCCATGGATCATTCACCTATGAATCATCCATCCATCCATGCATCCGTCTCACCTGCTCCTGTCCCAGAATGAGGACTCCCCCAGGTTTGATTGGGTGCCAGGCCGCCAGTCCCTCCCCTCGTCCCTTCATCTTCCCACCCTGGTAGGCCTTCCAAACCCCATCTCTGAGAGTCCAGCTGACACAGATGTGCTGCCACTCATCCTGTGGCAGGGACAGGGGCAGCTGCGCCACCTACAGGCCAGAGGAAACAGCGGCCGCAGTTAGAATTTCTCAAACTTGCAAACACTGAGCTCGCATTATAATTGGAACACCTTTCACCACGGTAAACCTCGACTACATTGCACTCTCTCACGGGAACTATACAGCAACTATATGAGCAATATTAAAGGAAAACACTGGCGTGGAACTGACTGTTCCTCAATAATGTATGTTTGCTGTGGATCCCGCCGCTATAAATGCAGAAAAACACAAACAGAGGGCAGGTTCTTCTTACTTTTAATCGACTTTAATCAAGGCATTTGTTCTGGACAAAGAACAATTTTAGGCAAAGTAATGTTGCAGTTTGCGACTGAATTGTGGCCATGATAAATCACAAAAAAGTCTGATTTTAATGCTCTTTTTTCCCTCCTATCTTGTTTATACTTGTAAATTTTTAATGTGTTGTTGAAGTGCACCGTCTGTTTTAGTTTTACGTTTTCTGCATTGTGGGAATACACATATTTTTTTTTTGGGGGGGGGGTGATCGATGGCTGAAGTGGGATCAACACCAGCGCACACCTGAGGCTGAGAACCAAAACCCAAACTTAATGTAGATGGTGATTCACGTACTGTTTACTCAAACGACAGCACACAGCTGTGACATTTTCAGGTTTGCTTTTTCCATCACTCTTGTAAAATTCAATAAGTCTGTGAGAATGAACATGTTTACATCGCTCACTTTAATAACAGTAAGCCATCAACTATACTCTACTGTTCTGTAAGACATCGTAATTAGTTTCCTTCCAGGCTTCTGTGCTTGAGTAATTACAAGGAAACCTTAAAGGTTATGAGATATTAATGCTTTTCCCGACAAGAACCATTAATTTTCCCATGTAAAATGCTCTGACTTGTCCCAACGTCCAGATATTAGCACAGGTACAACAGACAGGTAGGTCTGAGAAACCCTCGTTACCTTGTCGTTGATAAGCAGCTCCACGGGATTGTGGACTCCCTGTAACAGAACCAGCTCATTGGGCTGCCCCGGCACAGAGTAGGAGAAGGGGGTCCCAATGCCACCCTCTTTGGCTTTGAGCCATAGGCAGGCAGTGAAGGCATACATCTCAGTAATCTCTTTCCTGACCAGGCCGTACATGTAGTTGGTCCGCATAGGGAAGGAGATGACAAAGCCGTCAGGGAACGGTGGCTCCGTCATCGCTTTGGAGACACACATGAAGGAGATGAAGAGAAAGAAGTTAGACGCTGTAAGGCAGACCCAGAGAGAAAACAGCGAGCGATGATTGCATTAATTCATACAAGGACACTGAGGCTTCCCTTCTCACTTGTCTCTGCTAGTTTGCGCTCAAGCCCACACTCGGGCGCAGAGCGCTTGGCAAGAGCTCAGATGTTACAGTTAATGATCACCCTCTCTAACTCGAGGCCACACTGCAGCTCTTAAAGCTGAGAAGATGTAGAGGTGGTCAGAGAGGTTGGGAGAATGACAGAGTGGTGAAAAAAAAGGGGATAAATCAGTGCTTTTTCCTATTAACCTTCCTCTTGGCACCTCGCAAACTCTCAATCTCACCTCTGAGCGTCCACTTCTCCCATTATCAAAGAGCGTATACTCCTTTTTCGAGAAGCTTTCACCTGCAGTAACCTTATTTCTGCTCAGAAAATCTGCAAATAAAGCCCTTCAAAACCAACGTGACACATCCAGACCTCGTTCCTGACACCCGCAAAGCAAGAATCCTTCCCGTAGGTCCCCCGTGAGGATGAAGATTAAAGCAGGTAAAAGCAGCGGATGATTTCAGATATATTATTCTCTCCTTCCTTTATTTAATTTTTTATTTTTAGCTCTCAGCTCTCACTTTGACATTTCCCCACTCTTAAGCACTCATTAATCATCTAATTTTAATCTAAAGCATATTCTCTGCTGCTGAGATGACCCAGTTCACCAGCAGAGCTCGTTAAACTTTCATTTCAGCCTTCTCTTGCAATGCTCTGATCTACGTTCAGCTTGATGTTGCCCTTGTCTTACTACCCTTTACATCAGTTAATCTGTCCCTTCCTTCGTTCATTTAGCCAACAATGTCATGTCTTTATTTCGCCCCCTCTTTTTTTCCTTTCTTCCCACCCCCATACTCACTGTGTTCCAGCTCGGTGACACGGTGGCTGACGTTGTCGATGCCCTTGTTGATCTTCTCATGCTGGCCCTGAGTCTCCTTCCTCATGGCCTGTCTCTCCTTCTCTAGCATCTTTATCTTCCTTTCCAGCTCCCCTTCCAGGTCCTCCACCCTCCAGGTGCTCTTTCCACGCCCAGGGGGACCCTTAGCAGGAGGCCTGGAGGCAGAGGAGCCTGGGGAAGCAGGACGGCGGCCCCCTGGGGCAGACCCTGCAGATAGGGAGGAAGTACTGCTGGAAGGCGGAGCTGGAGCCTTGCCGGTGTTACCAGCTGTGCTGCTGCCGCTGCCGCTGCTGCTGCCGCCACTATTTACACCCACAGATGTGTCTGTGAGGTTCAAAGCAGCAGGGCCTATCTCTGCCTGTAGGAGAGAAATAAGAAACACGAGGTCTGTGTTAGCATTGATGCTAGTTATTACTGGTTAGACACATGTAGAGAACAAATTTAACAACAGCAGATTTATGACAAGGACATAAAATGATTCAGTAGGTGAGTAATGCTACAGTTCCAGTGACAGTTTGGAAGTAATATATATATATATATATATATGTCACCTGTGTATTCACAAATGAAACCAGGCACACCCACACTTAATGATGTGTTTCTAATATAATAAAATGAATCATAATTTGTTCCTCTATGAATATTTGAACCCACTTAACTCCATGAAGTAGTGGGATTTGAACCCACCCAGATCTAACCACCGTGTGATTTGGAGATAGTCTACAAAGGAATATGTTTCACTTTTCTCTTTGCTAAAGTAGCATTTTATGTCTGATTGTAAACATTAGTAGCATGAAACACTTTCTATATTTACTTATACACTTAGTGTAGTTTTAGAGTCAGGTTTGGAGAGTGGCAGAAGGATGGTAGATGACAAACCGTGTTTTGTGTTCACTGTTCAAAAGTAAAGTCACGCTACTATTTAACTGTTTTGGCTTATTACATGTGGCCCTTTAATGATTACTTTTCTAGAGTACAACCAATTATATATCATATCAGCCGATATCACTCACCTATTTGCTGATACTGACATATCAGCAAATAGGTTTTACAGCTGAAGATAAATGAAAAGTAAAAAAGCAACAAAGACGTGGGAGAAACACCCTTCAACCTTGTTACTAATGTTGATGTTACATAGTTTGTCCACCAGAGGGCACTCTGCAACTTCCTTGTTAGCCAGTGTTTGGAACACCAAAAATTCATCAACCAGCTGATTTGAACAACTTGTTAAAATAACAAAAAGATTATTTTTAAAGTTCACTGTCATAAATAACTGAAAACAATAAATTTTAAGCAAATCTGTTTATGATTTGTGTTTTTTAAAAGAAATATCGATTGATATATTGGATTTCTGAATCACTAAATATCAGTATTACTCTTATATCAGTCTGGCTGAAGCCTTTTCTTAAAAGAAATGTTTTCTGCGCTTTAACATCGAGCATTTTTATCTTGGCAGCATTTTCACAGCTGCTAACCAAGAGTCAGTCTGCATGGTAATGTTAGAGCTTTTTGTTCAATGTCAAAAGGAAATGACTTTTTTGAATTTCAAGCACTGAAAGACATCCTTGTCAAACAACACAGTGACACTGAATGCAGCCTGTCTAGACACAGAGGCATCTCCTTGTAAGCCATTTATCCTGGATGTTGCTGTACTCCTGGCTTTCCTGACCCATGATGTCTGGAAATATCCACCCCAGAATATGTGTTGTTACATGCAAAGACATATTTTCACCATGTAGGCTTTGTGCCAAAAATAATATATTTAGATATGACTCATTTGTTGTCATGAAAATTTACATTGGTAATTGTAAATGACTACAAATTTGAACATTTTATAACAAACCTGTGTTTGTTATATGTTATATGTTTGTGTATATTTTTACATGGTATTTATCTAGATTAATACTTGGTTTTCTATTTAATTGTTCTCCTTTCTTTTATGTAGTTTTTTATCTTACCGAGACATCTGCTTACTGTGATATTTTAATTTATTAAGCTGTATATTTAACTACATCATTCTCAGCTTATTTGCTTTTTGGGATGAGTAAATTATAATTTACCATATTTCTTTATGGCTTTGTCGCAGCTTTATCTTTAGCACTAATCTTGCATCACCGAAGCTTCCTGTGAGCTGATTTTTTTCCACGTACCGGTATGCTTAATATGATGTAATCATTTACTTCTCCTTTGCCAAACATCTGCCCTGATCTATGTCTCAAGATCTGAATCTTTACTTTGTAATTAAATCTTTGGATTACACCCAGCCTTGCAGACGAGTCCTTTCCCAAGATTAAATGAAAAAAGCACAAGGACTCTGAGCTCCGTCCTCCTCAGAGCGTGTTGTCCAGATGTCAATGACCTCTAATCGTATTGATCACTTTCAATTTTTAATGCTGTTTATTTGCGCCTTAGGTTGGGCGTAGAGATGCCTTGAGCAATGTCAATAAATATTAATTAACTATTTTTTATGAGAGCTGAGGGTGAGAATATTGGCTAAAAGTGGAAAATGCTGTTAAAAAAGGCTGTCAGTGCAGTTCCTATTCACTGTGGGGATATTTGTGAAAAATACATGAACAGATTTAACATAATGGCAATGAGCAGAGCCCAGTCCTGTCTTTATTGCCTCTAAATATGGCTGCCATCGATGTTAGATGTAGTGGTGGTTTAAAACTGAAATGAAACTGCAGGGAAGGGGCTCGACTAATAAGGCAGCGCCATGGAGAGAGCTTTTGTAGCAGCCGGGCACTGGCAGTATTAGTAGCCTATGCAGAGCATAAGTTGAAAAAAGAAGGTGTTGGTGGAGGAGCTGTAAAGAGAGAGAGCTGTTAGTGTGGATGAGACGGCTTCGGGGGCGATATATAATATCAAGAGAGTTGCTGAGGCAGGACTGGATGTGGACGTCCAGGATATAAATTCTCACTGACGAAGACAACCTTGTAACTGACTGTGCTTGGAGAGCACCAGCAGTGATGCAGCAGTGTTTGTGTGTGGGTGTGTGTCTCAATCTTTGCACACACACACACACATAAAATCTGACCCCCCTACTCCACCTCCCTCCTTCCTGTCCAGCCAGCTTCATGTTTTATTTATGTCTCCATCCTGCTGTGGGAGATGCGGTGGTACAGGGTATGAGGCAGCAGGGTGGGGGGATGCGGAGGAGCATGAGGGCCAGCAGGTGGAAAGATTTCCCATGGGTCCGTGTGGAGCTTGCGCAAGAGATCAGGGGTATCTGTGTCACGAGTTAGGCTACTTGTCAGAGGAAAGAGGAGCAGAAGATAAAAGAGGGAGGGGAGAATGAAAAGAGGTGGAGAGAGATAAAGACCAGAGCCCCTCTTCAGGCTCAGAGAACCAGCAGAGCTGTGGCACTTTAATCTGAATCATAAGTCAATTCTAATGGTTAGTCCTAAACCACCACAGTGGATATCAAACTAAAATTAGGATAGATCTTGAAATGAGCCTAATTTAGACTGAATGGCACTGACTCATCTGCTAATGCATCATTCTGGTGCCTCTCCAAATCTCCCGCTGTCAAACAAAACTCAGACAGGAGGTTAATCAGCGACAAGCCCGCACTCAGCATCCCTGTGTTTACCTCCAGTTTCTCAATGCGATCCTTCAGCTCCATGATTGCCCGGGCCAGCTCCTCCACGGCCCGCGCCGTCTGCAGCTGTGCCGCGGCGGATGAGGTCACATCATCCCCGGCCATGACGCGGCGGTTCCCGCTCCAGACCCCGATGCTGCGCTCCGGGATGCTCCGCTCGTCCTCCAGGCCGCTCTCGCACTCGCTGAGCTTCCCGGTCAGCTCCCTTATGGTCCTCTGGTCCATGAGGATCTGGTCGTTCTGCTGCAGGACCATCTGCCGGAGTTCCTCCGCGGTGGTCCGCATGTCTTCATCCCCTCTGCCGTAGAGCGGATCGTCCGCCTGCTGCTGCTGGTGGTCCCTCCGCTGCCTCAGGTCTTTAGTCTTGCACTCTCCCACCGGCACAGGAGTGCAGATGAGTCGGCTGAAGCTGAACTGCTTCGCCGGCCCTCCACCAGTCTCCTCCCCAAGGTTGAGCTCGTTCAGAGTGGGAACCTCCACGCCGATGCCGCCGAGTCCGTTTCCACCATCGTACGACTCCGCGCCGTGCAGAGCGCCCAGCGGCCCGGCGTGAGCCACCGACCCCGGCTCCAGAGGCTGGAGCAGCGACTCCGACGTCAGGGTTCCGTTATCGCTGACGAGAGCGGCGCGTTTGCGCGGATAAACGCTGGCAATGATGCAGATGACCGCACCGAGGAAGGCCAGAGTGCCCGCTCCCACGAGCACCACTGCGAACTTCATGGTGACCGTGAAGAACAGTGATGTAGATCAGGAGTTCAGACACAAGGTGACACACACACGAGCCTGCAATAAAAAACAAATACAAATAAAAATCCTTTAAAAAATAATTAAAAAAATAAAACAAAAACAAAGACTTGTCTGGGCTTTGGAGGCTGGAGCTCAGAACAGCATGTAGGAAGACTGCAGCCCGCCTCAATATAATCTCAGCCTGACGTGTCAAATAAAGTCGCCAGATCTTTCAGGCGGAATGTGACACTTACTGTAGGAGCGGGTAGATCCGGGGCTCTGCTGCTGTTGTTTCCTCACCACCCTCTGTGTGTACCTAATGTTGACGGCACCGCGCTGTCTGGAGCAGAGATGCTCCCTCTCCAGTCTCCGTGTTGCTAAGCTGCTCTCCTCCGCGCGTTACTATGGGGATCTCTCGGAGAGGAGGAGCGAGGCTGTGGGCATGCGCGGGTCAGAGCCTAGGTGAACCTCCAGCAGCAGCCGAGCAAACAAGGCGATGATGGATCAGCGTGTGACTCCGCTGCCTGAGCGCACATCCTGTTCTGGAGGCTTGGAAGATAAAAGGAAGGAAAGGGGGGGGGTAGGGGGGGTGGACACATTTTTAAAACTTAACATAAAAACCGATGTACAGAATCCAAACTGCATTGATAAGGGATGCAAAATCCCAGTGTGCAGTGCGCTTTTTCTTTCACAACCATGTGTACAGCCTGAGTTTATTTACATGCGACATCTGATGTAAGAAATCGCACGTAAGACGAGCTGCAGCAGAAGTGGAAAGGCTGGATAGTGTAGAGGAGAAGAAGAAAGGAAAAACAGAGACGTGGGACCTTTAACACCAGGGTTTTTATACTGAGTAGGAGGAAGAACATGTTTTCCTCAAGAGGCAGTCCCGACTAATGCAGCACTAACGCCAACAGGAATGATCCAACCCTGACCCTCTGTCCTCTGTGGCTCTGTTCAGCAAACAAATCCTCTCCGCTGGATGGAGGAAAGACTTTTATAAAGTTTTCTCTGCACAGCAATCCAATTAAATATGCATATTTAAATTTAAAGAAAAAGAAAGACATGTAATCTACCACTGTGAAAAGATCTGATGTCACTGTTGAGAAGGGAAAATAAAGCTATTAATATGTGATTCTTGCTTTGTAATGAAACAACTAAAATCAGTGAGGTCACTTCCCATGACACACCTTTCACCTAGCTTACACTTTCCAGAGATATCTCACAAACACATACTTGCCATATCCACCCGTGGCCCGCTGCTTGGATTGCAGAGAATGAAGCAGAAACTTTTCACTGTGTTTTACAGCAGCAGCCATTGTGTTGTGAGGTCTGAATCATCTGCAGTTTTATAGCCTTCTTACTCACACAGACATCATCGTGCTTACGTCTTCCCCTGACTTACAACAGAAGTCGACCAGCTGAATGTTGAAAAACTGAGACATATTGTTGAAAGTGCACTTATTTTTCTCAAGCAAGCTCTGGATGCTCATCACGTCTTTTAAAAATACATGTTTTATTCAACGTTTAATTTCAGAATGAGCCTGTACTTACTTACACTCAAAGGAATGGAAACAACTTGTATTCTTTTTCTTGTTATGCAGCACTTTTATTTCAGTCCATCTGAGATCAAAGGCCTGTTTGTGCTGTAGGTGGACCATGAATGAGTTTGACAACCCTGGACTTCAGTGTTCTCATTTTAAGGCAGGTCAAACGCTGACGTTTGACACCAAGGTGTTCTTTGCTGTTGGTGTCACGAATTATCGGGTTAATGTCAGCAGGGCTATCTTTGTCACATCCAGCGCCGCTGTAGCTAAAGGAGAATTTGTGTATCTCTGCGTGAATCACCAGCAGCTTCTCACGGAACAGCAGCTTTTGACACCCTTGGATTGCTACATCGTTACTGCAGCAGTGTTTACTGTATTTGCTGTGATAGTGTAGGAGGCGAGTAGGTTTTATTAGCGTTAACCAAAAAAATTAAGGTTGATGGATATGTTCAACAGGTTCAGGGACTTGTTCATTACTTCATTTCTATTTCATTCTTAGCGGCTGTTGATGTCTGTAACACACTTTCCAATAGATATTTCTCTCACAGCTGTTAATATAAGCGTCAGCCTGGACCTCTCGATTCACAGTGACAGTTTTCATTAGCTAATGCCTAATTGCCTAATAATGTGTAGGTCCCCCTTTTGCTGCCGAAACAGCCCCGACCTTTCAATGCATGGACTCCACTGAAGGTGTAATGGGATATCAAAATGTTAGCAACAGATCCTGTAAGCTGCCAGGTGAGGCCTCTATGAATCTGACTTGCCCAGCACATCCCACTGAAGCTCGACTGGACTAAGATCTGGAGAATTTGGAGGCCCATCAAAACCTTAGAAGCCACAGGCATGAAAGGGTGTATGTGATATGCAACAAAGTAATAATGCCTGCTTGCCTTCTTCCCATAGTGCATCCTGGTGCTAGTTGTTCACCAAGTAAGCAATGCACACAGAGCCCCACCTATGTGATGTAAAAGAAAACGTGATTCATATAGAGCAGCCACTTTCGTCCACTGCTCTGTGGTCCAGTTCTGATGCTCACATGTTCATTGTTGGTGCTTTCAGGAGTGGACAGAAGTCAGCACAGGCACCCTGACTGGTCCACAGCTATGCAGCCCCATACACAAGAGTTCAAATAGCTTAGTATCGAACCACCAACCCTCCACTCATTAGCAGATGAACCTCTTGAGGTACAGCCTCCACCCAAGAGTAAGTGGCTGAGGAAATAGGGTTTTGCATTTTCGTATAGCTGTGCATAGCAAATGAATTAAAGGTGTGGAGTTAAATCTAAGCTATTTTACAGAGTGGGTTAAAAAACACACACTCACACTCTGTTTGATGAACACAAGTGACTTTTTTTAAGGATTTAATTGATGTCTGGAGAAAGACTGTGAAAGCAGCCCCATGTGTCCCACCCAGTCGGGTACAATGATGATAGCATTCAGGCAGTGAGCAGCAGTGCACTGGCTAGATTCACAGCAGCCAAAACATGGTTTCCAACCAACAAGGTTGAAATTGCAGCAAACAATATTTTCATATGGATATCAGATGAACAGATGATTTAGAATATGAAACCAGATCCGCAGCTCCGGCAGCCAAACATTTCCCTCTGCGCTCCTCGTCTGACGTCTCTATTGTCAACACCACTCCAGGCAGCCAGTCAAATTAAAAAGTGCAGCTGTCAACGCTAGAAGATCTAAAGTGAGATTTATCGTCTCAGGGCTGGTTGTGTCAGATTTTGAGCCCATCCATGAATGGCATAAGTGAAAACCTGGAGCAGCTGGTGGCACTTTGTGTTTGTCAAAGTCATTAGAATTCACCGTTTGTTCAAAACGTCTTACCTATCTGTTCAGTGTATAGCGACAGACCGGCTAAGTAAAACCAGCACTGCCGTCTGTGTACGGTTGGGAAGCGAATGTAAACACGTCCTCCGACTGCTTTCCTTCCAGTCTGCAGAGCCAACGAAGGCATCTCTGCCTCTTCTTCTTGTGTGCTTGCTCCATAATACAGGAGGTGAGGTGTCACCCATTGATTTTGCAGGGCTTATGTTTGAGAGTGTTTTTTAAAAAAACTTCTCGATGCAGCTTAACCTTGTTAGGAGTCTTTTTTTCAGTGTGGAACATTGCAATCAACTTGACCCAGGCTTTTCGCTGTGAACAGGCTGGAATATTTATGAAGCAAAGAGAAAACATCCACTTTTAGTACCTATTTTGCAAGGACACACACAGTTTAAAATTTCTATTTAACAGGATATAAGGAATACTGTGGAACTACACTGCTGTGTTAGTTTTTACCCTCAAGTCAAACTCCTGCAGAATGAAATGAATGAAATCACATGAAAAATACGGAATATGTATCTATAACCATCAGAAGCTCAAACACCAAATGCAGATGGGCTTCAGTCTAATGACCAGTAACCCAGATTGTGGCTTAATCTCCAGAGGTGACTGAGCTTGCACTCACTAATGCACATGTGTATGTTATATACACACACACAAACACAAACACACAGATGTTGGCCACTCGTATCAAACTCTGGGTCTGTTTTAGCTCCATCTGGCTCATACAGTAAGTGCCTGTGGTATCGGGCCAGGAAGGAAACAGACAGAGAACCAAAGGCAGCACGGGGAAGGAGTGAAAGGAGACTACATGTGTCTTTCTGTTATACGTCCCACAGTCTGAAGGGTAGAAGAATAAAATGAAATACTGCCTGTGGAAAAGGATGAAGCTGTTTGAACTCGACGTATTCATCTCCACATCAAAACACACAAAGATGAATACACAGGCGTGATGACCTTAATATGACCCCCAACTCTCACAATCCATCTGAGAACACAGATGCTGCTGCTCCATTACTCTGAAAGAAAATGAGCAGCTCAACAGCGCCTCACAGTGGACTCTGGCAATAGTGCTCAAGTGAAATTGGTCTTTTTTTCCAGATGGTCCAAGCAGGATTATTATTATTAGCCATTTCCGCCGTATCAGAGTAAGAACTTATCAGTGTTTTTAAGTAGTGTCAGTACGTACCATCCAGTAACTGGAAGCCTTTTCATGCTTTATATTTCTGTGGTAAAAACACAAACTAACTTTCATATATATATATATATTTTTAAATGATTCGTTTTCCAATAACAGAACTGGTCTCTATGTGCAGCCGGCTGTGAGAGGCCCGTTACATATCGGTGACACTGTCTGAGAACATTTATATATGTATTATATTTTTGTTTGTGTTGTACTTCGTAGACGTTCCCTGTACACTCTGCCATGTGAATATGAACAAACATGACAAATAGGGTGGCGGATATGGAGAGATTACCTGATATGAAGCTCTGGCAGTCAAACATTTCCTGCACAGCGTCATATACATACAACACACACACCTTTAAACATTCCATTAACTCAAGTGCTTTCTGCACAATCCTTTGTCATTGTTGCACTTTTCTGTTGCACTGCCTTGTGTCTTTCATCTTTCTGTTCTGCCTAGGGTTGTACTGTTTTTGCAAGTTTTGCACATGTGCACTTTATGTAGTCCTGTGTTGATTTTCTGTTACATGTAGCACCATGATCCTGGAGGAACACAGTCTCATTTCACTGTGTACTGTACCACCGTATATGGTTGAAATGACAATAAAACCACTTGACTTGATTTCCCTCTCCACCTCTTTTCTGATACAGTTAGGGCCAAGTTTTTGGCCCTTTCAGTCTGACGTTAGGGTGAATTTACTAAGCCATACACTCCTAGGAAGATTTAGCACTTTGTTAACACACACCAGAACACTCCAGAGCAGCAAACTGTTAAAAAAAAAAAAAGTCTAAAGGTGCTCACACTTGATAATGAATTGAAGGAATTGCGCGTCTGATTAGCAGCGGCCAGCTGCTACTTTTGTTCTTATTTCCTGTGAAAGCAGTAAAGGTACACTTAATTTTTCAGAGGAATTCAGAGTCCTGTGAAATCTATTTAACAGACGGCTGTAGCCCGGGTCAGGTGAG